GAGTGTCTCCCTTAGATTCCCAGGGGTCTAAGTGATATTGTTGTTTCTTTTAGAGATTGCAGGAGGCATTTCTTGTTCTTCCCCAAGTCACATTACTGGTTCCCTTTCAGCTTGAGACTCTGCCTCGTCTTCCATAGAGCCAGTTACTGGAGAGGCACAGGAAGAAAGGGAAAAACTTAGACTTTGCAAAAACTGTAAAGCAAAAACTGTAAAGCCAGGAGGTGCTGTAATTAACATTTGGGTTGCATTGTGCTGGTCACTAGACAAGCATGGGCATATGCTTGCTTGAGAGAGCCTGCAGCTGTGCAAGGGATTGCCACATACTTGAGAATCCAGACTGAGTTAGCAGAATAGATGAAGGCATTTGTGATGGGATCTCATTCATTCTGTTTATCTCCGGTGGCACACACCCTGTATTGCTAGTGGCATACTATTTCTGCCACTGTGCCAAGTGAGATGTGCAGTTACCTCTTAGCTGTAGGTCTGTCACTGCAAATGTGTCCAAGTGCAGTCATCTTGGTTAGGGAGAACCTATTAAATACTGTCCAATGAGCAAGATAAACTAAAAAAAAAAAAGTGCTTTTTGCCATTTTTAGGAGACATCAGCCTAAATGACAAAACTCTTCCTAGCAAGAACTGCAGGGCTGGTCCAAGCCCTTGTACTTCAGATTTCTCCCTAAAAGGCAGGTTTAAACTCCTTGTTGCTCTGAATTGATATGCCTGACTTACACAGCAGACAAAGCAACACACTTTCAAGGAGCTGAAGGACCTAATGTCGCGGTGTTCAGAGCACCACTGTGAGTTCTGTTGTACCCAGGCTGAATAACGAACAATGAAAGCAGCCTTTTAAATACCGCCTCTTTGCTTTTCAGAAGGTATGATGTTCACATTCCTATGCCTTAATGCTTTAATCCTTGCAGGATTTCTTCTGCACCATGTCTTTTTTGCCTTGGTGCTGCGTATTGATAGTCCACCAAAGAAAAGGAATAAATTGTCTTCCTTTCCTGTAATAAAAACTGCCTCGTCTTCAGGAGGAAACTTATGATAGATCTTGTAGTAACAACCAAAGAAACAGGCCTGCAGGAGTGTTTATATTTGCTGATTCAGAGCTTAATTAAAAACAAAGGAAAAATCCTTTTTAGACGTGCTTTTAAGTCTTTTACTTTGTGACTGGTGTTTCTGTCAAACAGGTGTCCTCCCTTGTTACTGTGTGTGTAGTCCTTAAGGGTTAAATTAAGGAACTTTATATTTAACCATGGCTATTTTTCACCAGGTATGCAGCTTCTATTGATGATATACTGGAAGAAGAGGAACATTATGCCGATCAGCTGAAAGAATATCTCTTCTATGCAGAAGCACTACGGTATGTACAGAAGTGTATAGCTCAAATGGAAGCTACAGTCCTTTTCTCTAACGCTGTCTTGATGTTGAATTTAGTTTGGTATCCTTTTCTGTTCTCCGAGAAGTAGAAATTTCAATGTTGTGGAATCTCCATGTTCTCACCTCTTATTTTGCTTACTCATATTTGATAGCCATGTGGGTGGCAATAAAAATTAGAACTGAGCTGATCAATAGTGAAATGACAGGAACGTTAACATTGGTATACTGTGGAAGGTAATGCTGTTTATTCCTCTGGTTACACTGTTTCCTTGGCTTCTGGTATAATAGTGCCCCAGTGTGCTGAAAGCTTCAACTTTCAAATGAGATAGGCCAAACAGAGCTGCTACAGCCATTACAAATTCCAGCAAATTTAAAGTGCCCTTATATAACTTTTGTATGCTGTGCAGTATTGTGCAGTTAAATACTGATCCTTTTTTTTTTTTTTTTTTTGTACGTTAGCCTTTATAGGGCAATCCTCCCTTACAAGCATGGATACAAAAGCAAACTGCTTTATGCTGTAATATTGCACCTAAAGCTGTTGTGCTCTCTGTGGGCTAGCTATGGACCTCTTGGAGAGGTCCAGTAGTGCTGTAGAGAATTGGGTTGGTGAGTGTGATGGCTGCTGTGTGGGAACCCAGAGCACAAGTAGCTTCTTCTGGGAAACAAACATGCATCCGGCCCTGGAGTACGGATGTAGCATTGTCAGCCCACACAGGACTGGGACTTACTGCAGGTGGTCAGAGGAAACTCTTCTCTTTTCCAGATGAAAGGCGCTATGTGAATCTAGGAGCACAGTTTCTCATTTCATTGTTTAAAATGTGAAAGATTTTATGATTGACTGATACATTGCTGCTGTGACAGGTACCATCTCCAGGTACCTTTTGTCATAGTTGTGATTTTTCCTGTAATATATTTTAAATAAAACAATTTAAGTGTTTTAAGTAGGTGGTAGGGCTCATAATGCTGAGAGTATCTTGGAATGAGTCTAAAAAGAGGGAGCAGAAGAGCAGAATGCTGCTGTACTGAGAACTTTCTTTATACTTTGATCCAAGCTTGCTTAACTACAGCATTTGCAGAGTTATGCATTCTGTGATAAGGCTGTTGAATTCGAGCTAGATAAATAACTGAATGTGCTGCCTGCCAAAAAAAAGCATGATGCCATTTGTAAAGTTTAAATGGAGGGAAACATAGCAAAACAAAGTATTACGTGACAGATCTTTCACTGCTTACTTTTCAGGGCAGTTTGCAGGAAACATGAACTAATGCAATATGACTTGGAAATGGCTGCACAGGACCTAACATCTAAGAAACAGCAGTGTGAGGAGCTGGCAACAGGAGTGAGTCTTTCCACTTTCTTCTCCAAGATGCCTTTTTTTTTTTTTTTTTTTTTTTTTTTTTTTTTTTGGTGGTGGTTTTTTCCTTTTTTTTCCAAAAATTTTTTTTTTTTTTTTTTTTTTTTTTTTTTTTTTTTTTAATTTGAGCCAAGTTACTTAGAATGACATTTAAATGGCACTAACATGCTGGCTGCTGCTTATGAGAAGTGGTATCATATGAGCTGTAGGCATCTGAGGTTTAAAGTAACTTGGTTCTTGGTGACATAAGCTGTTTGTACCAAACTTCTTTTATTGAATACTGAGCAAGTAAAGGGTTGCAGGAAGTATGACCTGAACAGAATAACACAAACAGCTGTATCCTAAAGATCAAAATTCTGAAAGGCTTCCTCTGCCTTTTGAAAGGTGGATGTTGCTGATATGTGGCTAGTCCCTTTTATATGGAAGATAATGTTACTTAAAACATGATCTTGAAGTGGTAATTTCAAAAAAGTGTTTAGAATTCTTAATATTGCTGTTGGATCTGTTGATGCTCTATACACAAGTACTTTATGGTGAAGATTCCTCTGAAAGGTTACCCAAGTCAGTGGAATGACTCACTTACGGTCCAATCCACAGACCAGCCTTAAGAATTTGAACATGAAATTACTTCCTCCCCACTTTGCTCAGTCTAATGTGAGCCACCATACCTTCTATAGCTACTTATCAATGGAGCATTCATGAAATGGAAGTTAAAGCCAGAAATCAGCTGAATAATAAGAATCAGCCCAAATGCTGGTAAAAATCACATAGTGACTTGTGGCTGTGCTCAAGAATCCCAAACCTAGAGTGTCTTTGTTTTTTGTAGACTGTGAGAACATTCTCCCTGAAAGGGATGACCAGCAAGCTCTTCGGGCAGGAAACCCCCGAGCAGAGGGAAGCCAAGCTAAAGGTTCTAGAAGAGCAGATACAGGAAGGAGAGGAACAACTTAAGTCTAAAAATCTGGAGGGCAGGTAAATGGGCTTGACTTTTTCAAAGAAAACACAAGGTTTGTCTTAGCAGAAGTCCTTGACTGGATGCTCTTGAAGGTGTTTGGATTTTATAAGTGTTTTTAATATATTCTTGGTGTTTATGAGCTGTCTATAAAAGCTCCTGTCAGCTGCAAGTTGTGAAATAAAGTACAGTACATGCAGTTGGCTTCTGGTCTGAGCGTATGGCTTATGTAGAACCTGATGACTTTCCCAGTTACTGAGCCCACTCTAATGGCTGACTTGTATGCTTTTATGTTCAGCTAGTAATATGTTTAGCAGGTGGGCTTGTAGATCTGCAGCTGAATAGCCTAAGAGTCAAAAGCTGATTTGCTTCAAATGTAGTATTTAGTTTGGTTTATGCATATGGGTCCCAAGCTCATATTCTGCAACTTCTCATATGGGGGACAACTGACTCCTGTTTGAAAGAGATTAGAAGTTCTGGCAAGTTGTGTTTGAGTAACTGCTTCTCAGTGCTCTAATGAAATTTTCTTCAGGAATGCAAACATGAAAAACAGGAACTAATATTCCTAAAGCAATGTGATTGTGTCAGAACATGTTCATTGTATAACACAAGGGGTAAACGTGATATCTCCTAATATGTTAGGATTAGAGCTGGAAAGATAAGACTAGTTAATGAATAGTTCAAAACAATAAGACACTCAGTAAATGCAATTTCTTAATCATTTTGACAGAAGTTCTGGAGATCTGCTTTTGTAGCTCTGGAAGCAATTTTCAAGTGAATACTTGCATTGTATGTGTAGTGCAGCACAAATGAAAGCTATGAATTACAGAAATCTACTCTGTTTTAATTAAGGAGACCTGAAGATACATCACCACACCAACAAAATTAATTCCTGAAGTGAATTGTCCAAGTCAAATTTGCATTGCAAATATTTGTTGTACTTGAGTGTCTCAAATCCTGATGACAAGTGAGTTTTCACATTGGGAAGACCAAGATTCTGACTTGACAATTGACAAAGAAATGTGCAATGTTGTGTGCTGAATGTTAGCATAAAGATACTTACATACTTAGTTACCCCAACAGAATCTGAGGAGAAAAGTGTATTCTGAATTATGCTGGTTCTATGGCAGCGATGCTTACTGGGGGAAGAAAACCCAAAACAACCAACCAAATGCATCCTGTGACACTGATTCTGTAGATTAAAAGCCTTAAGAAGAAAATGGAGAATTAGGTAGTAGTGCCAATGATAAAATGAGGGCACTGTGGGATGTATAATAACTACAGAACTTGGTTTACTGACTGAAAGATGGAGCGCTTTGTCATACATAGCTTCTCTGTTGAGTGTTCAGAGGAAGGAAGATCAGCTGAGGATGGAACATGTAAAACACTTACTAACAGAAATATTGCTTTTAATTCCAGAGACTTTGTGAAAAGTGCCTGGGCTGACATTGAACGGTTTAAAGAACAAAAGAATCATGATTTGAAGGAGGCACTTATAAGCTATGCTGTTATGCAGATTAGCATGTGCAAAAAGGTACGTTTGTGAAAGGCCAGGCTAGTGTATATATCGTATCAGTAGGGGATCGGATGCAAACTTTCAATAAGTAGGAACATTGCAGTCACAGAAGGTTGGAAGTCACTAGCGTAAAACCTCCCACATACTCTGTCCTACTCTAACTCAGTCACACGTTAATGTTGATATACAATAGGCAGTGTGGTCCAATTCCAGTGTGGTCTCTGCCTTATTCTTGTGTGAAGTTCTGTGGGACTCTGGTGGGGTTTTTTGGGGGTTTTTTTGGTTTTTTTTTTTTAGTCTTCTGTGGAAGGAAGTCTATTGATGAGGTTTGCAAACAAAATATATTTCCGCCTATTGATTTTTAACTTTTTTTAAAGGGGATTCAAGTTTGGACAAATGCAAAGGAATGCTTCAGCAAGATGTGATTATCTGGAAATGAATTCCCTCTCCAAGTGCCAGAGAATGGAAGCACAAATGTATAACACCAATGTTAAGTTGCTACATGACTTGCATATAAATCATGAAATAAATGAGTGAATAGTTTTTCTTTCTGCTGATTGTAATTGTTAATAAAGGATAAAAAGGACATGTTATTAAATGTTTAGCCCTGACTGCCACTTCTGTGGCAAGTTTTATATGTGGTAGCAAATAATTCAGGGGTAAGAGAGTTACTGAAAACTACAGCTCTGTATTGGGGCAAAGGTATAGGGAAAGTTATCCCAGAAAGTATGAACTGAACTGTTCTGAGACTTGTGAAACACCACGCTCTGTAACGTGTAGATCACTTCCAGATGCCCTTCTTTTCAGCCATTGCTGTTTAGCATTTGTAATGCTCAAGGGTGCTTTGGTTTTATAATGGGACACACAGTTGTGCTCTTGAGGTCTACACTGTAAGAGGACAAAAAATGAAATGTTGTAACGCCTAGGGTTCATATTTAAATGCCTTTGCATGTCCATAGAGAAATGTGCTTTTCCAGAGTTCAGGTTAAGCAGTCTCAAGCTCCTGAGATGTTTGAAACTCTCTACAGTAGAGGTGTTGTACAATGGTTTGATACAATATTCTGCATTTACTGGTTCCCACTTAAATTTTGATATGGGCATTGATTTCTTATCAAACTTCTTCCTGCAAGTAAAGGAGACTGGTGATCCAGCTGAGCAGCAAAACCAAAGTCAAAGCTGGTAAGAAGCAGATGCAACTTCTGTTTGGTTGTTTGGAACCTGTTTACACTAGATGTGAATCTGGCCTGTGGTACCTCTTCTTGTAACTGAAGCGGTTTGGTTCTTAAAAGAATAGTTCTTCATGAAGATGCTGAAATAAAAAACCTGGTGCAACTTCCGTAGTACTTAAGAGCAGTCACGTGCAGAATCCACAGTGAACCAAGGTGTCTGTTTGGCTCTTGTAATGATGTTTCAGTGTGTGTATGTGCGTGTGTATATATATGTGTGTATATATATACACACCAGTATAACATGATTTGCAGTTACAGGTACTTGTGTTAAATGTTTCCAATTATGAAAAACACTTACCACTGTCTAATATTGGGCTTTTTCTATATACTTAAAAGTTCCTGAAGTCTTGTGGAATTTGTCAGACTTGATGGCTAGTCCTTAAAGGAAGCTTTGTAATATTCTGTTGAAAAGTGTATTTAATTATTCTGGATTACAACACTACTCAGATCTTGATTGTTTTTAAGAGATACTCCAGGAAGTCCTTAAAAGTTCTTTCGATAAATTATCAATAACATATTTACTGATCTGTCCCATGTTACTTTTGTCTCTGCAGCATTTCTTTTCTATAAAACCATTGTAAAGAATTCGTAAACCTGATGTACACTACATCTGAAAACTCTGAAGTAAAATGCTGGTCACTCTGATAACCCGTGTTGGCTTTTTGAAAGCATATGACAGTGACACTCCTGGCCGAGAGATGATGTTGGGCAGAAAGGTCTCTCCCTATAACATTACAAGGAGAAGTGTTGTTCCATTCAGAGGTTGCGGTATCCAGTTCTGATACAGGCTGAAGGACTCTTACATTCCAAACCAAGAAGTTGCACACTTGATGTATTCAGTAAACCTTCTAAAGGAGTGGTGCCTTAATACAATACCGTGAGGCGCTCAGAGTAGGTATTTTTCATGCACTTTGATTTTTGGTAGATCTTTCTGGTGCCTCTTTCCACATTTCACTTGCTGTACAGCTTATTAAATGTATTAGTATGCCTTTTTTCCTTGCTAGTTGTACTAAATTTAAGAAGGGAACAAAACAGTTCTTGTAAGTTTTGTGCCAAATAAGCTAAATAAAATCGCTCTTTGATATTTTTGTTACGTTGTTTTTTGTAAAAATGCTGTCTTCCCAATTCTGAGAACTGCTGTTCAATTTCTTGAAATCAGTTCTTGTCCATTGTAGCTCTCAAATGGCCTCCAAACTTGGGTTTAAAACTTAAGTAGTAAATTGCCCACAACTAGCTTATTTGCCTTGTAGGTGAAGACATAGTGTTAAGGCCAAACTTAGGTGCCTGTTACAAGCCAGCTTCGATCCCTGCTTTGTTTTTGCCTGAACAGAACTAGCTGTCTGAATTTCATGCATATCTTCATCTAGGTAAGTGAAGATGCATTTGAAAAGGGTTTGCGTTGTTTGACAGAAATTGGGTGAAAGGTGGGTTAAGGATAATTTGCAATACCTTTTACTTCTGCTGTTCGCAGAAAAGCAGTGCATGCTGTTTGTGTACTTGTGGATCTTAGCAAATAGTGAGGGCTTCTCCCCCTCTTTTAGCATTTTAACTTTTTAAGGGGAAATCATCTAATTAATGGCTGTTTCTGTGTGGTTAATAGAGTCCACATGACAAATGCACACTTGTGAAGCGTGCATTTTTCCAGTTACAGTACAGATTTAACTTCTGTAACTCCATCCACTTTGCCTTGATGAGCTTCCTTCAGTTACCCAGTAAACACCAAAAATTGGTGGAAGGCCTTGACAATGATAGCAGGTAGGTAGACCATTTTAACTTAATCTCCACAAAATGCTTGTATGTGAGTTCACCTATGTGGATGATCTGATTTGCTGCTGGAGCTGTCACTTCTGTCCCAGGCAGCTTTGCTGGGTGGATTATCGCTGTTCATGCTATCTGTGACCTTCCCCTTTACTAGCAGGACCTTGACTTGTCAGCGCATTTTAGTTGCTACTGTTGTCTGCTCCTGAAATGTAGCTAGGGTAAGGGAGCCAGCTGAAATGGAAAGATAAAGTATTTTTATGAACTCTCTTTGTTTTTCTTTCTCTCTCTTTTTTTTTTTTTTTTTTTTTTTTCCCCAGTGTTGTATTATTTCAGTATCTGGCACGTCAGCCAAAGCAGAGTTGACCCACCAGCTGTGTACCGGGACTGCCTTGGCAAGTGCAGAGCAGATCTCGGAGCTCAGGTCTGCGCTGAGGAGCTTGCCTCGTGCAGGTGGGCCGGGGGCAAGTGGCAGCAGTAGCCAAACACGGGGCAGAGCCAGCGGAGCACGGCTGAGGTCCCAGAGCAGCGGGCTGGGCTGCGAGCACTGCATCCTAGGAGAGACTTACTTTCCTGTGTGACTCTCCCTACCGCTGATGCTTTTGTGCATTTTGGTTGAAGAAACAAACGCTTTCTAATGTCCTCTAAAGGATTACAGGGGAGGAAGTTACCCCAATTCCCCGCAGTCCTGCACTTGCCATGCAATGGCGAGGCAGGGCTCTAATTCACGTTTCCTGATGTCCGCCTGTTCTGTGCATCCCTGGTGCCTGCATCTTGTGTTTGCCGCTAGAGCTCTGCGGGGAGGTGCGACCTGTGCGATGAAAATCCTCGCACAGGGCTGCCGTAGAAATAATGCAAACCAAGGAAGCAAGCGGAGCGAGAGCTAGTAAAACGGGAGCGCGGGCGTCGGTGCCAAATCCAAGTACAGCACGCTTGCGTGTCACCCGCAAAAGCAGCCACCTTTGTAAGCAGTCGCTCCGCCGCTGCTGCAGCCTTCTCAGCCCCGCAGTTCGAGCCCGGCACGTTCCCTCCCGCTTCCCCGGCACAGCGGGGCTTCCTCGGGGCAAGGGGTGTCCGGCAAGGGATGCTCGCTCTTGATCCAGCTCCTGTAGAGACCTTGGCACCGCAGGAGAGTAACTTGTGTGAGCTGCTTCCCTCTAGTGGGTGGCCACCGGGGAGGGGGGGTGCTCGCTGGGAGCCGGGGAAGGGTCTCTCTTCAGAAGGCGGAGGCCTCGGTGTCCCCGCAGCTGAAGCGGGGAGGTTTGACACGCACCCCCCCGGGGTGAGTGCCTCCCTCCGCCTCGGGCAGCCTGCAGAGCCTCGAGTGCCCGCGTAAGCACAGGGCTGTGACTCTTTGGCCGCCGTTTTCTGATGCTTCTTGGTGTGATACGGTGTTGTGAAAAGGATTTTGCAATTGTGATTTCTATAGGGTCAAATGCAGAGGAGAAACCTTTTTTTTTTTTTTTTTTTTTTTTGCTCTCTTTTTTTGTTGTTTTTTTATCCTGCCTTCTAGTTGCTTTCAAATGGCTTACATAGACTGGCCTTCCCAATGCTGTATTCTCTTTCCAAAAAAATCTTTTTGCTTTGACTGGTTGTAGAAGGTGTCTAAACCACAAAACAAAGCCGAACTGGAAAGGATCTTGGGTGGATTTGGAGGAAACCAACTCCAGACAGTGAAATTGCAGAGTATTTGGAGGTAAGGGGAGATGGCACCATGCTGGGAGGGGCAAGTGGGGGGGTTGAGCTGTATGCACCTGAGGGCAGATAGGGTTTTGAGGAGAGATGCACAAGAGGGTGAGGAGGTAAGGAGGAGAGAAGAGAAGGTGAGCAGGGATGGGGTGGCTGGAGGAACGGGAGAGGAGAACAGGTGGAAAGCTTCTGTACCTGTGGGCTGGGCTGTGCAGAAGGGGAAAGCAGCATTGCATTGCCCTTGTTTTGGAGGGGTAAAAAAAGGGAAGGAGATAGAAGCAGGAGATAAGGAAATTTCAAGAGGTGTCAAAGACACAACTATATAATATTGATGATAGTATAATGACAGTATCTAGGTCTGAATGAAACTTGTAGTGGTGACCGAGGTCTTAAAGCTGAGTTCAACACTGAGAAGTGTAACATTTTTCTTGAGCTCAGGAGGAGAGATTTAATTTTGTCTAATATTTTGTATCTATTTTAATAAGATCGCTTTGAATTTTCTGAATAAATAAAATAGGAGAAGAAGCTTCAGTCTTCAGAAACCCAGCATAAACTTTGCGGACAGCCTGATCCTACAAACACCAGCATGATCAGCCATGTGATCCGGGGGCATGTGGGCTGATGCAGCTCTAAAACAGGCTGCCCCACATACCGTAAACATCCCAGGGGTTACAATTAATAAATAGCGTTTTCACCTGCAGTAAACATTTTCTGTTATCTGTATATATCGTGGCATATGGTAAAACCTATTACATTCTCTTCAGAAAGTAGCTGTAAGTGGCCACAGAAGATGAAAAGCGGCTTTCTGGCTTTCTGGTGAGCCTCCCAGGGATGCTAAGGTGGAAAATGGTGTAGTCGAAGGGAAAACGCAACCCCGACCGCCCTCTTGTGGGTCTCCAGCTCGGGCTCGCAGGGGTCGGAATAAAACTGCGGCAGGAGGTATGCCACCTACCCCCCTCCCGCCGCTCAGAGGTGCGAGGGCCATCTCGATAGCCGTAGCGTAATGAGTACCGAAATACAAAGGGATGGTTATACTGGAACAGGTACCTATGCAGGATTTAGTGATGAATTCGAGTATTGTTTTAGGTTGCTATTAATAATACCGTGTATTACACTGTGACTTGCAGCTTGTGTGCAGGTTCCTCAGGCGCCTTTCACACCGGGCAAACGCTGCTGTGAGTTGGACTTAAAACGCAGGTTTTTGAGCCAGCAGTTTTTGTTTTTGTTTTTTTTTTTTTAAAATAACTACTTGGAAGCGGTGCTGGCTGCATGGTCAGAAGGAATGACCTGTGACCATTTGTGTAAGCTGCGCTCCCGTATAAGAGGTGGCAAAGTCGCCCTTGCCCAGTGCTGCTTTGAA